TGGTGTTTTAATAAGAAAACCATAGCATCTGATGCATTTTTTTCCCTAAAGACTAGGATATTCTGAAATGCTTATAATATTTTTACATCCCTGAATAAAACAGTTCATTTGAACATTGTTAATGTCTAAAGCCACTGTGTTTGGAAAAGGCAGGAAAAGTCAGAAACTATTTAAACTGCTTGTAAATTATATCCCAAGATAGACAGAAGTTCACTAGATGGGAAGGACCACGGTAACAGTCGCTTAGACAAGAGAGCCTTCTTGGAGGCCTTGAGACTGGGCTAGGTGCTCTACCCAAGCATCTCAGAGCACCCTTGTCATCCTTGCCCACTGTCACACCCAAACCTGTGTTGTAGCTGCTTAATTGTTCGTCTCCCTCTTCACTCACTGCAAATTCCTTGAGGGCAGGGATTTTGCTTGTTCCCTGATGTACCCCTAGTGCCTGACACATAGGAAGGACTCCATAAATAATTGCTGGGTAGACAGCTAGCGATATCCACTTACTGATCTTCCAAGAGCAACAGAAGCAGGCAAGAGTAGCACCACGTGATAGCAGTAAGAGGCACGTCTCTACCGAGAGCCTGCGTTCGGTGGCTGGCAGGAGAACATAGGTTCCCATCAGTGTGTGATTTGATGGAATCCCCACAAATTTCCATCCAATAACGTCCTTGTAGTATGTCATATTATACCTGCCTATTATAGGATGGATCCTATTATAGGATAGGATCCTATTATAGGATGGATCCTATTAAAGGATGTATGACATTTTGGTGGGACCGCTTTGACTATTTATCCGATTCTTACACACACCTCAGCAGAATCTGCCCACAGTGTCTTAACCACAAGCAGCTAAACACAAAGAACGAACACTCTTCAAGAGAGGAAGATGAGTTGGTGTTGGCTCTATTTTAGGAGGAAATTCCTCTGGCTACATTTTCTAGGAACGAGGTGGGGTATCTGCTGGGCAATTGCTCAGCATACTGTTTGGTAATGGATTAAGAGAAACTTTTACTCCTTCCACATGAGAATTTGACCTTCGGTTAACTTTCTAGCTCTGTTCCCCCCGGCAACCTAATAAAGAGCAGCATATCAGCTATGTTGTTGGCATCATTACACATGGAAAAAAAGGATCCCTAATTGGTAAACTGCATCCAGACTGGGAGAACTCTAAGTCTACCTGATAGGAAGCCACAGGTACAGTGACCCTTGGAACGGACATATCTCTTGCAGGGACCCTGGAAACTATGTCTACAGCATTGTTATAATGGACAATTGCTCCCATGAGACAAGAGGCTTTTAAGCCTTGTCTGATGTGGGTCTGTCTCCTTGCACGAAAGTTATGACACATGGACAGTTACAGGGACTCTGACAGAAGAGCGACATCTGGTTCTGCCCTCCTGGTGAGCGGCGCTTCCCGTCCTGTATCCAAGTGCCTCTGAGACCGAGGGTGGCAGTTTATGAGTGTGAATATTTCTAAATGCTCAGTTGAGCCTAAGTAGACCACTGTGGTACTGCCTGCTTCGTGTTTTGTTTTGTTTAGATGCTCCACAGGGACGATGAGAGATGTGAAACTGTCTGGCATGGTTTTTTGCTTCCCCCAAAATCATGATCATACCCATCCCTGTCTGCATGACAGACAAACCATCTCCATTACGTGTCACCGAGACATATAGCTCCAATTGACGCCTTCCTTAAAATCCCCAAGCTTGTTCCTACTAAGCCTTCTCCCTCAAGCACATAATCCCATCCTAACCCCCTGGTTTTTAATATGCTACTGACAAATATCCAAAAGTCAAACGATGGATATAAAAATCACTCCCCCAAACCATAGTTGTCAATGAAGAATTGGGGGTAGCTAAATAATCTCCCCGGGGGTCAGAACAGATGCTGGAAGTCCTCCAATTATGAAGGTCCCATATCATCTGATCGCAATGGTGTGAATTAGTGTCACCTTTTAAAACCAGGGGTATGTAAATAAATAAATAAATAAATAAATAAATAAATAAACAAACCAGGGGCATGTTGGAAAACAACCAAACTACTCCTGCCAAACAAAAAACTTTTCATTTCTCTCTACAGAAGCATTCTCTGACGAAAAGAATTCCATTGCCTGCACTAGAATGAAAGGTTTGAGGAGCATAGCAATATTAAGCAGAAATCCTGAACAAAAATCCACGAAAACACTGCCCATCATAAGCAACTGAACAAAGGGCCCTCTTTGGAGCTGGAAGACAGCACAAAACACAAGGCAAGCTACAAGAGACCAAGAGCGACAGGAAGAACCATGGTAAAGTTCAAAAGAGAGTGCAATAGAAACTTCACACCCCAACGCTCTGCCCCTCCCCACCCTGTTAACACTAGATTTTACAGAGGTAATTCTATCGTCAATGCACAAGAGACACACAAGCCAAACTTCTCAGTCCAATGAAGCAGTCTGAACTCAGTTGACCACAGGCCACTCCAGTCTTCCCACTGCCCTCAGAAACAGCACATGCAGCCAACATGTGGCTTTGTTCACAACACCAATGAACGACAATAAAAACCCATCACGTATTCTGAAGCTCCAGAATACTCAATTTCACATTTTGCAGACCACCAGGTAGCGACCACCAAAATATTTACATCAAAATGGCATCTATCTGCCAAATGACTAGAAGTCACGTTGCTCTATGTCATTTCTTAGTCTATTACAGATACAGGCCTTATTTACATTCCTTTCCAACCCTTGCTATGAAAGCATGTCCCCTTCCCCCAAGAGAAACAACTTCCCAGGGATGCCATTTTTAAATTCCATTACAAGTAAGAATTCTGTTCCAGCTCATGCAATGTATCTAATATAAGACAAAGAATCCCTTTGTGAACGTGGATTGAAAGTGCCAGAAAGATGCCAGATGTAAAATGAATCCTTAATGGTCTGTGTTGGGCCCGACGATGAATTTACTTATAAAAATATCACCAACTCCATTAATTAAACCTCAGGCACTGTGCAGTTATAAATATTGACCACCAAATGTGAACATAAATTTAAAACAGAGGACAGTTTACAATCTAATAGTCCAAAGTGATTATTTCCATTAAAAGTGATAGAATTCAGCAATCCAGTTAGTACTAATGTCACCACCCAAACTCAAAACAGCCAACCAGGAAGGCAACAATTGGAGACATTATGGAAAAAAAGAATCATTTAAATATTAAGCTTCATGTTCCATTTTCCTCCCATGATTTTGCTACTTTAAAATGTAATAGAATGACCAGAGCCTAGTAATCATTCTAGGAGTATGAGATCAGAATTTCTAAGTTTCCACATCACAGACCAAATCAGAGCTTGGGCAAGTTGTGAACAATTTGGCCTCAGCTCCCCATTTTACTAATTCCACTATTTTCCAAAACTTGGAAATGAGAGCATAAGGGCCTACTAAATATTATGAAGGTAAAAGGTAACCTAAAATATAACACAAAATTAAGTTCACTCATTAAAGGTCATTTAAAAAAATCTTACTTTAGGGGCGCCTGTGTGGCTCAGTCGTTGAGCGTCTGCCTTCAGCTCAGGTCATGATCCCAGGGTCCTGGGATCGAGCCCCGCATCGGGCTCCCTGCTCCGCGGGAAGCCTGCTTCTCCCTCTCCCACTCGCCCTGCTTGTGTTCCCTCTCTCATTGTGTCTCTGTCAAATAAGTAAATAAAAACTTTAAAAAAAATTTTTTTAAATATCTTACTTTATCTTATGGTCAGGTTTCTCAACCTTGATACACTTGACATTTTGGACTAGATAATTCTTTGTTCTAAGGGGCCGTCCTATGCACTGTAGGATGTTTAGCAGCAACCTATCCAGATGCCGGCAGCACCCTGTCCTGAGTTGTAACAATTGAGACTGTCTCCAGACATTGCCAAATGTCCTCTGGGGGACAAAATCACCCCCAGGTGAAAGTCACCGTCTTACAATGAAATTGCTAATGTAAATTTACTTTGCACCCAGCGATATGATCAGGTCATAGAGTCACTGAGGAGGATCGTTCCTCTACCAGAGAAAGTGGGCAGAGAAGTTGAACTGTGAGGTAGAAAAGTCACATTGAAACACTAGAAATGGGGCACCTGGCTGGCTCAGTCAGTGGAGCATGCGACCCTTGATCTCAGGGTTGTGAGTTCGAGCCCCATGTTGGGTGTGAAGATTACTTAAAAACAAAAAATAAAAAAAAAACACTAGAAATAATTTAAACAGAGCAAAAATATCAAACAAAACTCCTTGCAAAGCACACCTTATACACAACCAGTTAGATTTCCCTTTTGCTAAGATCCCTCCTTGAAAGGAATAGCTAACTAATATTTCCATTTCAGGAATGAAAAGTGTTTCTGGTCCTTGATAATTTCCAGTTTGTTACTCTTGATCTAGAACAATAATTTTCAAACTATCTGTGGCAAAAGACCATTTTAAAATTTCTAACCTACTGCAGGCCAACAGGTGGTCCTACTGTGTGGATTGGTATCAAAGAATTCACAGGCCAGCTGTCTGGGGGTCACAGTTTGAGTAACACTATTCTAGAGTTCTCACTTCTATTGAGGAGTATGGTTTAAACACCTTTTGAACTCCAATGACTAACACTCACAAACCAATTTCTAATGTTTTTTATTGGCTTTTTGTTCAGGAGGCAGAAAGAAAGGGGGTTTTGCCACCTTTTGAAAAGGAAGAAAAAGTGATTTCCTTTAAAGCCCATTTTGGATACTTTAACATAAGACAAAATTATGAAAGTGCCTTAAATATCTTTAATCCCTAATATTTCCTGCTCTTCGGTCTTTTAAAGAAGTATAGCCTCTTCCATTAGAATAACCACATGGCTGCAAAGTGGGTGAAAAGCAGAATGGTTTTTAAAAATCTGTTCTTCTACCAACCTTCTCTTTCCCTCCAGAGGGTATTTTAAAAGGTAAACAATTTAGAAATACAACTTGTTCATATAGGCTTGCACTTTCCCTCCAATTAAAGCTCTATTCATAATCAAAGCAGAAAACTCAGCAGTGGCTATATTTCCACGCTCCACAACAGCGACTCTGGAAAATGGCTGGAAAAGCAGGAGTATTTTGAATTTCGCCCCAATGACTTGTTTTATGATCACAAAACAGGTGATCTGTGTGTGTAGAATTGTCAAATACCAAACCAGACAGGGAAACCGCCCAGACCTGGGCTCACAGGCTCCCTTCCCAGGGCTAACTTAAAGTTTAATACAACTGGGCAAGTCAGAGTACGCCAGGAGCCTCTCAGCTCATTTCCGTGTGTGTGTGCACATAAGTACTCCCAGCCATTAGAGCTGCAGCCTTAGAGTTAGAAAGTACCTTTACAATCATGCAGCTGAACATCCCTGCCTACCTGATGTCATGAAGACTTCACCAGAAAACTAAAATATGGAATCCATTAGGAGAGGCTTGGCAAGAGAGAGACTGGTCTCAAGCTATTCTTGCCCACCTTTACAGAGAAAAAGGCTGACAAGAAAGGAATGTAGATGTGAGACAATGTGAAAACAAGCACGGAGATTTTCTTATCTTTCTCCGAACCAGAGTCTGGGTGCACCACAGGAAGAACGGGGAGCCTTGGGGCCAGCCTTGACTCACTCAGAATTAACTCAGCAAAGCCCTCTGAAACCAAGGGCATTGCACTAAGCAGTCATTAGTCCTTCGACTCACAAGATCCAACCTTCGCTATGTAATCTAACAAAAATGCAAGTAGAGGAATGGTCAAAAAAATGTTCCTCTCGGGGTTCCACAAAATTGGACAAATGGCGGCTTTCGAACGCAGAATGAGCAATAACCGATTCTAAAACCTCTCCCCCACCAAATTTACTGCTACGTAAGTGTCTCTCGATCCAACGAGTAGGGCTGAATTTGCCGTCTGCCATCAGAATCCTCTCCGGCGGGGTCGTTTTCCTCACCAGACTCCACGTAGATTGGCCAGTCATTGTCCGTGTCACTCTTTTCTTGGCTTTCCGACGAAGCCTCCACCAGGCCAAGGTTGACGGGCATCAGCTCGTCCTCCTCGTCATGTGTGTCGGTAACACAGGTGCAGTTGTCACACAACCCGAAGCGCCGCAGGCCCTGGGACAGGTGACTCGTGAAGGTTCTTCTGCAGCCCTTGCAGATGATTGGACGGTTGGATCTGTGCACCTGAAATCACACGCGGACACAGTAAAAAACCCCCAGCCCCCCCCCCTGCCCCCCGCCACAGCCGCCGCCTCACCAAGGTGCTTCCGCCCCAAGGCCATGGGGCAGGTGAGGAACGTGCCGCCTCCCCATGGCCAAGCCTTTTGCCCGGCTATTAATGCCCCTGAAGGCAGTCTTCGCAGAGGCTCTGGGCCAGCTTAGGTCCCCAGATACACATTCTCGCCTATCCTCCTTCCTTTGTTGAATTTTTAAAAAGATTTTATTTGTTTATTTATTTAGAGTGAGCAGGGGGGGCAGAGGTAGAAGAAGAGAGAGAATCTCACGGAGACTCTGTGCTGAGCACAGAATCCCGCTCGGGGCTCAATCCCACAACCCTGAGATCATGACCTGAGCCGAATCAAGAGCCGGTCACTTAACCCACTGAGCCACCCAGGCGCCCCCCCCTTTGTTGAATTTCTAACAAATGGTTAGTAAATTCCCTAGACTATCATAAGCTCCAAGAAGGCAGGGGCCATCCTCATTCATGTTCTCTGTCACATTTGTTACTAAAAAACTATGCCTGGCATAGAAAGGGCCTTCAGGGAACGCTTGAGGATTTTAGCTGTGGCTTTTTATGTACCTGGGATTGTCCAGTTATTAGGGAGGCCGACTTCCTAGATGGTATCTTCTCCGTCCTTACCTCTTTTTCGATAAATGCTTTCCTTACCTATGAGAAGCACTTTGCAAACTAGAAGAACCTGATCTCCTACCCCACGCAGTTCCTCCTTAGGGCAGTAGCCCCAGGGCCCCTCTGCATACGGATCTATCTAATGTGCGCCCTCTTCAGGAGCTCCAGCCCACAGGGGCTCTGTGAACCGAAGCCTCTCCTGTGGAGAGCTCCGGATGCAGGGTGCACACAAGAGACAAATGACAGAGGACAACAGCCAATGACACAACACTCAGCTCACTGGGGCTGCCACTACATCCTGGCCAAATGCCTCCAGGGCATCTCCTAGGCTTTCTACACTAAACCCTTAGCCAACCTGGCTATGTCCATGACCTTTGCAACCTGACAGGGCCTTTGAAAACCACCTCTTCGGGCTGCGGTAGACTGGACATTTTATAACATGGAAAAATAGAGGGAATAAAGATTCTAACCAGTAAACTATCTCCGGGGTACCAGGAACCTACTGCTGCCAAGACAGACTGGAGATACAATTTGGGGGGGAAGAAAAGACAGACAAAAACTTGAGGCTATGAGAAGAGGCCATTCTCAGACAGGGGTGCTGGGGCCAGCCCTGAGAGTGGAGATGGCCAGTAACCTTGTACTTAACTTAAATCTGGATTCTTTCAAAACCACAATTCACATACCACAAAACTCACTTTTGAAAAGCGTACAATTTGGGCGCCTGGGTGGCTCAGTCAGTTAAGTGACTGCCTTCAGCTCGGGTCATGATCCTGGAGTCCTGGGATCGAGTCCCGCCTCCGGCTCCCTGCTCGGTGGGGAGTCCGCTTCTCCCTCTGACCCTCCTCCTTCTCATGCTCTCTGCCTCTCATTCTCTTTCTCTCAAATAAATGAAAAAAATAAAATAAATAAATAAAAGCATACAATGTAGTGGTTTTTAGTATATTCACCAGGTTGTGCAACTATCACCACCATCTACTTCCAGAACATTTTCATCACCCCAGAAAGAAATCAGGTGCCTAATAACAGCCACCCCTCTCCCATTCGCCAGCCTCTTAGCCCCTGGTAACCACTGATCTACTCTATCTCCATGGGTCTGCCCATCTTATGTATTTCTTATCAAGGAAATCATACAAGATGTGGCCTTTTGTGACTGGCTTCTTTCACGTGGTGTAATGCTTTTAAGGTTCATCCACATTGTAGCATTTATCAGAACTGCATTCCATGTTATGGCTGAATAAGGGTCCATGGTATGGATAGGCCACAATTTGTTTATTCATGCATCAGTTGATGGACACTTGGGTTGTTTCCACTTTCTGGCTATAGGAATAATGCTGCAATGAACCTTTGTGTGCAGATGTGTTTTGTGAGAATGTACGTTTTCAGTTCTCTTGGGTATATACTCAGATATAGAATTGCTGGTGTCTATGGTAATTTTATGCTTAACTTTTTGAAGAACCACCAGATTGTTTTCCACAGTGGCTGCACCATTTTATATTCCCACCAGCAGTGTATGAATGTTCTAATTCCTCCACATCCTTGCCAACGCTTCGTTATTACTTGCTTTTTGGTGATGACAATCCTAGTGTGTCTGAAGTGGTATCTCACTGTTGGCTTTGATCTGCATTTTCCTAATGACTAGTGATGTTGAGCATCTTTTCATGTTCTTATTGGACATTGTATATCTTCTTTGGAGAAATGTCTATTCACATCCATAGTTTAATTTGGTTATTTGTCTTTTATTGTTGAACCGAAAGAGTTCTTTGTATATTCTGGTTACTAGATCCTTAGCAGATAAATGATTCACTAGTATTTTCTCCCATTCTGTGGGTTCTCACATTCTTGATAGTGTCCTCTGAAGTCCAAACCATTTTTATGTTTGATTTTCTAAAGACTGATTGCCTTGCTCAAAGATGATCTTAAATACAATGCCTTCCTAAATGGCCTGAACGCCTCTTAGCTGGTGGGAATTAATCACTCACATGGGAGACAGAATCGCAGGGGGAAGCCAGTGGGAGGGGAGGTCCCCTGGGTCTGGAGTCCTCTTTGCTGCCCACAGGGAGCCTTAGAAAGGGTGGCACATGCTTTCCCCACATCCAGGTACTGGGGTTGGGTGGAAGACTAAGGATGCACTTTTCTCACCTCTGGCATCACACCGGTGAGAACAGACCCACAATCCCCTGTCTACACCCCATTGTTCTCTGTCTTATGACAACCATCCCCGACCAGGATCTAAACTTTCTTGAGTTGGGGGCGCCTGGGTGGCTCAGTCAGTTAAGCAGCTGCCTTCAGCTCAGGTCACGATCCCAGGGTTCCCGGATCGAGCCCCGCATCGGGCTCCCTGCTCAGTGGGGAGCCTGCTTCTCTCTCTCTCTCTCTCCCTCTGCAGCTGCCCCTGCTTGTGCTCTCTCATGCTCTCTCTGTCAAATAAATAAAATCTAAAAAAAACCAAACCAAAAAACAAACTTTCTTGAGTCTAAGAAAACTAGTCTCTTACATAAGTTTTAACTTTCTCTAAGTGCCACCAACCCAGCTTTAATTTAGTAGAAACACATGTTTAAAATTCTCTGAAAATACTCCAGTGGACAGAGAAGTAAAAGGCAGGCTGGTTCACCCTTGCATTAGACAAATGTCAGGAGCCCCCTCCCCTCCATCCCCTCTGCCCTCACCACCAGAGATTTTCCAGCCCAGATACTTACACTCAGGGCGTGACTCCGCAGGTGCTCCTGTCGCGTGAACCTCTTGCCACAGGTCTCACAGGGGTAGGGCCGCTCACCTGTGTGCGAGCGGATATGCCGCTTAAGGATGCCCTTCTGTTTGGCAGTGTAAGGACAAAAAGGACACTTGTGGAGCTTGATGGGGACCACCAGCACGTCACCTGGGGAACCAAATGGGTTGTAAGCATCAGGGACAATGGCCACCCTCCGAAAGGTGATCGGGACCTGGGGAATTCTGCCAGTCCGGATCCAGAGGGAGGACATCATCTTTACCACCAGCTAAGAGCAAGACACTACAAATTCCAAGTCTCTGTCTGGCTCCCAATCAGCCAGAGGGTAAAGAGGGCTTCTGATATAAGGCTGCAAGGAATGACATATGGTACCAGCTTTTAAACTTCTCTATGGCTCGCAGTTAGAGACACAGGTTATATTACAACCTCAGAATTCACACGTCTTCAAGGGGATAACTGGAAAAGCTTCCCAAAATAACACTTACTCTGACAGTGTCTATTGTCTCTGATTTCACTTTAAGGCAGTGCTGATGGAGACCCTGTTACAGACTGAATTGCATCCCCCCAAAATTCATACAGTGAAGCCCTAACCTCCAAGGTGACTATTTTTGGAGATAGGGAGGTAAATTAAGGTTAAATGAGGTCATAAGGGTGGAGCCCTAATCTGATAGGACTGGTGTCCTTAGAATCCGAGGGACACCAGAGGTCTCATTCTCTCTCTGTTCATGCACAGACGAAAGGCCATGTGAGGACCAGCAAGAAGGTAGTAGATCGTGAGCCAGGAAGAAAACAACCCTACCAGCATCTTGATCTTGGACTCTGAGCCTCCAGAACTGCGAGAAAACAAATCTCTGTTATTTAAGCCACTCAATCTGGGGTATTTCTGCTGTGGCAGCCTGAACTGATCAACAATGACCTCCTGAATTGACTTCATGACTTCATGACCCTCAAAAGTTTGGAACCCTCTGTGATGATGAATCAGACCCCTGGATCAGGATCTATCCTTTCTATGACAGGAGTGCCTAAGAAGAGCTTCCAGGCATGTGTAGAAGATGTGTACTGCGATGTACACCCTCAGCTGGAATTCATATTAACTCTATAGATCTGAAATCCTCAAACATCCAGGGATTCACTTAAATCTTCTTCCAACTCTTTGTTTTTTTTCCTACCTTGCTTGTACAACCATTAAGGTGACAACACGATTATCCCCCCCATATACAAAAACTGTTCAAGTTTCCTGAGTTACCCTCACTGCAGCACTCCAAGATGTGTCCCCTCTATGTACACCCTTCAGGATTTTATAGACTTTGGTCATCTCACATCATACAGGAAGGCACTAGTGACTCAGGCTTTCCAGGCATTGAAATCTGAGTTCAAGGTCCTGCTCCACCATTTACCAGCCGTATGACTTTGGACATCTCCCTTAACTTTTCTGTGCCTCAATTTGCTCATCTGTAAAATAGGGATGATAACAGTTCCCACCTTAAAGGATTGTGGTAAGAATGAAATGAAGTAATACCTACAGCACAGCACCTCGCACATGGTAAGAGCTCATGAATGTCAGCCATTTTTGTCACCATCACCCTCTCCTTGGTGTTTCTTTATCAATGAAGCAGCCCAGGCTCTGTGGTTTTTCTCAATACTGTAGTAACTCCTTTTCTCTGGGACCTTCCCAGGACACCTACCTGGGCTTTATCTTTTCGGAGGTGCTGCCAAAAGTTTGGCAAGCCGAATCCCAAGTGAGAACCCAACATCATTCCCAACACAACCCAACCCAAGGGTGGAGGTTATTTTCTCTGGTTTCAAGTTCCCAGCCTGATAATGCCTAACATTCTGCATCATCTATAGTGACTTCAAAACCTGTTTCCTACAATAAAGCAGCAGCTCTTGGCTCATCGCTACATACGTATGTTGGATTATTTTGTCACTGAGCGCACTGGGACTGAGATCCAGTCTCTTGCTCACTCCTCTGGTGTTGTGGAATCTTCCTGCCATCTAGCCCCACCAGCCTGGCATTAGACTTTACCTTTTCTCAATTATCTACAAAAACATTAAGTCAAATGGGCCCAGCATTAGTCCCCAGAAAAACCAACTGTTAACTCTATCTCCATCAGAAAACTAAGAATTACCACAACACTTTCCTTCCTCTCTCATGATCTGATCTCACCAATAAAACCATTCATTTGAATGCCTATTAACATGCCAGACACTCTTAATAAGGTCCACCTTTACCAAGACACCCATTTCTTCCCTCAAGAAGTTAAGTCTGGCAGGAAAGAAAGACATGTAAACAAATTCACACAATATAATGTAACACGTGCAAAGTTCAAAGTGATGAAGAAACATAGACAAGAAAGTAATGAATTCACTCTAGGAGTTCAGAGAAGATTTCACAGGAGAAGTGATCTTTGAGCAAGGTTTTAAAGGATGAATAGGAGTTCATCAGGAGTTCAAGACAGAGAAAGGTATCTCAGGGGCGCCTGGGTGGCTCAGTTGGTTGGGCGACTGCCTTCGGCTCAGGTCATGATCCCGGAGTCCCGGGATCGAGTCCCACATCGGGCTCCCTGCTCAGCAGGGAGTCTGCTTCTCCCTCTGACCCTACCCCCTCTCATGCTCTCTCTCTCTCTTTCTCTCTCTCTCTCTCAAATAAATAAATAAAATCTTAAAAAAAAAAAAAAAGAAAGGTATCTCAGAGAAATAACGCATGCTTAGGCACAGAGGTAAATAAGAAAACAGAATATAAAGCAGAGGGGAGGGGGGATGAGAAATGAGGCTGCGGAAGGGCCAAGAACCAGACTGTGAAGGTCACGGTCAATCATTTATTCAACAAATTTATACTGAGCATCTATTAAATGTCGGGCTATGTTCTAGGCCCTGGGGATAGAGCAGTGAACGGAAAAGATAAAAATCCTGCCCTCATGATTCTGACATGTTCAGGAACTTGGACTTTATTCTGTAAGCGGCTAGAATTTTAAGGAGGGGAAGTACATGGGGTCAGATTTGAGTTTTGAAAGATCCCTCAGAAGACGGTACAGGGGAAGGATTTTTCTTTTTAATTTTTTTCAAAGATGTATTTATTTATTTGAGGAAGAAGGAGTGCAGGGCGGGAGGGGCAGAGGGAGAGGGACAGAGAGTCTCATGCAGACTCCACAGGAAAGGCAGAGCCCGTTGTGGGGGTATCTCACGACCCTGAGACCACGACCTGAGCCAAAACCAAGAGTGGGACGCTTAACTGACTGCGCCCTCCAGGAACCTTGTAGGGGAAGGACTGAAGAGAGGCAGTATTAAAGGTGGGAAGTACACGTGAGAGAGGATGAGAAATGTCATGAACTAAAGCAGGGGCCCAGGTGGAGAGGGGATACCCACGTGAGGTAAAATGGACAGCACTTGATGACCACACGTGGGAGGTTAAGAAGGGAAAGAGAAGATTCAAAATGACAGAGATTGTGGGTTAGCTGACCTGATGGATGATGGTGGAATAAACCGAGGTAGGGAACACAGGAGGAAAAGCAGGTACTAGAGGAATGACAGGTTCAGTTTGGATTTTACTATGTTTGGGGCGGCCCAGAGCATCCATGAGGGGCATATCTGGGTTAGATAAATCTGGAACTTAGGCACAGGAGGGAAGAATACAGTTTTAAGAATCTTCAGGAAATTGGAGTGGTTGCTTTAATTAAGGCCTGGCCTTTCCCTGAGCACCCTGCTTCCCTTACCCCATCGCCGTGACGCCTCTGAGTCGGAGGTGAGTAGGATCCCCCTCGTGCTTCACTGTCATCTCCAGACCACTGTCCCTCCCTCCATCCTCAAAAACCTTAAGATCTTTGGAAGCTCACAGCATCGAATGATAGTACAGCTATATCTCATTACAGTCCTCCCGGAGCCCTGAGGTCACCTCCTCATTCTGTGGAGATTTGATCACATTGCCTTCAAATACAACTCCCGGCATAATTCTTGGTGTGAGTACCGCAAATGACCCTTCCAACACCCTGGCCTCTCTGTTCCTTGACCTCCTTTCCTCCAAAGACCTTGTTCTCCACCCCACCTCAGCTATCCCGTCCTAGACCAAGAGCTCTCAACCCCACCTGCATATTAGAATCACCTGGGAAACTTAAAAAAACAAAACAAAACAAAACTGATGTCCAATCTCTATCCCAAGCATCAGAGTTTTAAAACACTCTGCCTAGTGTATAGTTGAGAGGGAGAATCATGGCCCCATACCTAGGTATTTCCAATAACTGCATTTGTTCCACAGCCTACATATCAAGCATCCCACTTCCCAACCACTATCTCGTATCTTTCCAGCTCACCCCCTAAGTGTCCCTTCTCGGTTAGAACCACACCATGGACTATGCCGCCATTTTACTGTCCTTCATCTCCTTGGGGCCTCATGCCTCTCCTTCCCCAGTTTAGTGCCCACAATCCATCACTGAAATCACTCTTTCACATCCATCCTTAACTGCCTGGGTCTTCTCTCTTCCTCTGTGTTCACCTGGCTAAACCTAAATTCTGGTTAAACACAAATCTGTGCCCATTCCATACCTGAAACAAGACAAATTAACATCACTGGTGAAAAATACACCACTGTGTTCTGGTCTCACTTCGAATCCATCTAACCATCACCCTCTGAGCACTAATATCTGCCCAAGAACCCAAAATATGGGGCACCTGGGTGGCTCCGTCAGGGACTCAGTCAGGGACTCCCTCTGCTTGCGCTCTGCCTACTTGTGATTTCTCTCTCTGTGTCAAATAAATAAAATCTAAAAAACAAAAAAACAAAAAAACCCCAGCTATTTCCCTGGCTCACTCTCTCCCACTCTCCTCGGGGACCATTCCATACCCTCCCTCTGCTCAGGTCTCCACCCCCCACTGTCTCCTCCCTTTCCCCTGTCCTTGTTTTGTTTTGTTTTGTTTTTAATTTTATTTATTCATTTGAGAGAGAGAGCGAGCATGAGCAGAGCGGGGAGAGGGAGAGGCAGAGGCAGAGGGAGAAGCAGGCTCCCCCTGAGCAGGGAGCCCGAAGTGGGACTCAGTTCCAGGACCCTGAGATCATGACCTGAGCAGAAGGCAGATGCTTAACCATCTGAGCCACACAGGTGCCCCTATCCTTGCTTCTTTACCTGATGAGAAGCAATCAGAAGAGAACCTCCACA